ACCATCAATGTTCCCAGCAAACTCTTGTGCCTTGAAGTTTCAACGGTCTGGGTTCGAACTAACAGTATTTATTCACGCCCGCCCTTTGGGGCGGAGTTTAGTCCTGCAACCTGTCATCAGTGTACCTATCCTACCTCCTATATTCCTACCAAGTTTGGTCGCTCTAGGTCCATTTTGACATTTCTCTGCAAACTCCATCCCCTAGGGCGGAATCCGGTACTGACACTCACCGCAAAGGTTCCCACCCTGCCGCCTATATTCCTACCGAATTTGAACACTCTAGGTCTATAGGGACAGGATTTATAAGTTTCTTTGCTAACCCCGCCCCCTGCGGGTGGAGTCCTGCCACCCAACATAAGTGCTAGCATCCTGCCGCCTTTACTCCTACCAAATTTGAACGCTCTAGGTTTAAAATAAAGTTTTTCACACAAACTCCGCCCCTTTTGGGCGGAGCCCAATCCTGCCATCAATTATAAGCGTTCCCATCCTATCTGGGGTACTCCTACCAAATTTGGACGCTCTAGGTCCACGGGGACTGGAGCTATGAGTTCCCGCACAAACCCCGCCCCCCTGTGGGCGGAGTCTGTTCCTGCCAAAACTAAAAGCGTTCCCATCTTATCTGGGGTACTCTTACCAAATTTTAACGCTCTAAGTTCAAGGGCACTGGAGTTATGAGTTTCCGCACAAACCCCGCTCCCTGTAGGCGGAGTTCGGCCCTGCCATCCACCATTGGTGTTCAAGTCCTGCCACCTGCACTCTTACCAAATTTGAACTCCTTCGGTCCACTGGAACCGGAGTTATGAATTTCCGGTCAAACACACACACACGCGGACAGACAAACCAACAGACACACTTAGCGCGTTATATATAGTGGGATTTTCTACTTTCTTCAATTAAGTTGAAGTGTGGACTACTGATTTACAGTAGCGTCCACTCATCTAGCATCTAGCCAACTTTCGTACCAGTTACTGATTTTATCGTTCTCCATGAGTACCTTAAATGCTTTTGCCAGTTCTAGCATCCGAAAAACAACTTTTTGGCATCTACCGAAATGTCGCTTTACTCGATGATCCTCTTATCAAGTAATCCGGACTACCTTCAGTGGAGAAGCTTATCGCCGATGCTTGGGTTTCGACCATATGAGAGGGAAATAGCTTGTAGGTGGAATAGGTTATCATGGATGGTAGAAATTCTGACTTGAATTTCAGACTCATAGAAACTCCTAATGTAATTCAGAACTGATCTTGTGAACGATGCACGAGAGCTAGTGTCAAAGCGGCGGATACGAAGGAAGTAGGGGAAAATTGGCTTCCAATAAAGGCTAGCAAGGGTGGGCAGTGGGAGAGGAGCAGGAGCTCAATAAGTGGGTGGGGATTGATTGGGGGGTTGGAAAGGGAAGGGTGGAGATCAAGTTGACACTGAAGAGGAAGGGGTATGGAAGGGTGGTCGATAGTCGATAAAGGCGGGAGAAAGGGTTGGGTAGGAGCTCACGGTGTAGTTATCGATACAGGCACTAGCGGGGGAGAGTAGTTGATAAAGGCTGGAAAAAGTTGGGCGCATCAACCAGAGACAGGGTGAAGAGGGTGGAAGATGTGGACAAGGAAATTCTGTTACTCTTAGCTCCTTGTCCCAGAGCATGAGGCTTGAAGCTGTTTGGGAGCCGAGAATACTTACAGAGCGACTTCATTGTGACGCTCTTTACGTCCCCAATACCCACAAACGATTGCGATCATGATCAAGCTGAGTGCAAGCGAATCAGGTAATAACAGTGTTGCTTATCAGTTGCATTGATAACAGTGCTTACAAAATCCGTTAAAGTGACCTCCAGTTCATTCAGCGTTGTGCAGACACATCGTGCGGCGTCTTAGCCGTAAGTGCTCATCACCATAGCTGAATCTCACGATTCACAACGCCGTACGTTTTCCTGACCTTTACAAACTTGTAATAGCTCTACAGTAAACTAATTTTCAGCATCAGAGTCGCCATTCACCGATAGCGATTTCAGTTCTGTTTCGAAACTCAGGTGCGAGAATTTTCCTATCAAATGCTCCTAGAATTGTATCGGTCGGGTGTCAACCGGATACTGCATAATAGAGCAACGGTCACCAACCTTCCTATGAACGCAGGGATCTAATTCACCACGAAAGAGCTCCAGATTGGTGTCAGATTCGACTTCTTCCCCCAATCGGGAGGAGTGGAATGCTCCAAGATGACATGCCGAGCCTTATACATTACTGATATTGATTGGAAATGAATTTGATAATTATCAATACGATCTCATTGCATGGGCAATGATAGCTCGGGTATCAGCTTAATCATACACCATAACCGCCATCAAGCACTCTGCCCCTTTGGTTCATCTGGTTTCGCGGTTATCCTGTTCAATGGAAAGCTCAAATCTCAGTGGAAGTGTAGGCCTCTTCGATCAGGACCTTCTGTGTCCATTTTCTTTGGGCTTTCAGACTTTTGACTGTTGATTCCAAGCCGCCCACAGTTTGGCTCTCTATCAGTGCATACTATGAAAAACTGATATATACCTTCCCAGACGAATTATCATCAGGGGATCGTGTCGATGAATTCAGACGTCAGTGGCCATCTGAATTTCTCATCTCGTTGTCTTTTGCCTTGTCACGAAGTCGTCCTCCAACATATGAAGTGTGGGTGTCAATCATGCCCGTAGAATAAGGTTCTACTCAAAACTATGTGGAGATAATACCGTGTCAGAATAAACATGTCCAACGCCTTTGAATTACTGTAGTTTATCATCGCTTATCAACAAATATTGATAGCAGCTACAGGAAAACAACAAGTGAATAAGGTCGATGAAATCAACATTTGCCACCTTCAGTACCACTTCACCGTTACTGCCCAAAGACCCATCCAGGGAAGGGCCAAAGCCAGTCAAAGGGCTTATCCGAACTCACAGAAAGGTTCTAATTGCCGTCTGTTATCAACTTCTAGAGGTAAGTTAGACTAGTTAGTGTCCTTTTGTAAAAGTTGTGGTGTCGATCAATTCCATCTGCCGTTATTTTTCTTTTTCCATTTCAGCTGATGTTCAGCTGCTGTGTGCTGGCTTGCTCAGTATATGTCAGATCTGATGCAATTACGACTATTTCTCAGCGTATTGAGCTAGCTCGTTACGATCTGGATGCATTCGAAGAAAGCTACCCCAAGGTGAGGAAAGTTGATAATGTGGCGTAACAGCGAAAGGCGCCGTCGCCGCTGGTAGGAGAACGGTTCTTTTTCCTTCGAAGGGATTTGCTACCGAGGCATCCGACGGGGCAATCACGGAAGAAATGCAGTGACTTCTTTGATGCTCATCTTTGATTGAGGTGCATGAATGAGGTGAGGGTGAGGGAGGAGACACCGGAAGGTCATCGATCGTATTTTTTGAGGAGCTAAGATAGTATCCTACTTACTAGAAAGCGCTTCGTTTGTCTGTCTGTCTGTCTGTCTGTCTGTCTGTCTGTCTGTCTGTCTGTCTGTCTGTCTGTCTGTCTGTTTGTCTGTCTGTCTGTCCGTCTGTTTGTCTGTCAGTCTGTCTGTCCTCTGTCTGTCTGTCTGTCTGTCTGTCCGTCTGTCTGTCTGTCTGTCTGTCTGTCTGTCTGTCTGTCCGTCTGTCTGTCTGTCTGTCTGTCTGTCGGTCTGTCTGTCGGTCTGTCTGTCTGTCCTCTGTCTGTCTGTCTGTCTGTCTGTCTGTCTGTCTGTCACGAAATCCCTTAGCTCCTCTAGATCTGCCTGGAGAGACGGGGTCAAGTGTGGCATTGGTGGTCCATGTCTCGAGAAGTATAAAGCACACATCAGCCTGGCGGAGCCCCGCCCACAGAGGGCTGGCCTGCATAAAAATGAGCTGTACTGAGGATCATGATTTCAAATTCAGTAATAAGACGGCTTGGAAACTGAGGTTTGAAGTTAGTTAGACGAGCGCATCGGTAAGTTTAGTTGAACTGGGGAGACCCACCCCCGATGGGCGGGGCGTCCTCCAAAAATTCAATGCTTTATGAAAACATTTATAACTCGTTTTAGAGAAAGCCAACACAGCAGGAAAAAGTTGATGTGGGAGAGGCATTGTCGATGTTGTCTCCAGAATAAATGACGTCGGCGGAGGCCCGCCCAGAATGGGTGGAGCGTGCCTCACATCCCTTCTTATATTTATATACGGAAATCCATAACACCGGTTCCCATGGACCTAGAGAGTTCAAATCTTGTAGGAGCACAGGTGACAAGATGGGAACATTCATGGTGGATGGCAGGACCAGACTCCGCTCATGGGGGGTGGGGTTCGAGCAGAAACCATAGATCTTGTCCCAGTGGAACGAGAGCGTTCAAATTTTGTAGGAGCACGCACGACAGGATGGGAACACTTATGGTGGGCGGCAGGACCAGACTCCGCTCATGGGGGCGTGGTTTGAGCGGAAACTCATAGGTCCGGAGAAATGTACAAGTCATAGCTTTTGCCGTCTGTGTCGGGGCGAACTCAGCACGGTTGGAAGGTTATTGAAGTGAAAGGAAGATGGAGCGTTTCTGAGGAAGGCCAGTTAGGGAAAAGATTCTGGTTTCTCTCCTCTTTCTGAGTTTTCGAGCATAGCGAGAACGGTAGTCATGAGAACTTTAGGCGCCCCATCATTGCTACACCATATGATCGTCATGCAGATGTAAGATGTCTTCTGATTCAGACTTCTACAATGTACTTCACAATCGAACTACTTGTTGGTGGTATGTTAATGGCAACAATCAGTGCAGTGCTTATTCACCAGGTAAAAAAATTCTCTCAATATTAACTTTCCCAGATCTATCACTGTTTTTTTTATGGCAAGAGTAGTTCTTTTTTCTGACATGACTTCTCTCGACTGGTATGATGTCAGAGTGACTTTGAAACAAACCTTCATTAAAGCTCCACCAATCAGTTGTGAAAGGTCTATCAAAAGCAGTATGTTATATATCGTTTGAGTACATGAGGACCAAATAGTTAAGCATCTGGAAAATACTAGTCCCACAAGCCATCCCTTGACGCTCACTATCGCTCACAGTGTCATGTATTGTACTCGGTATCACTAACTGTTACATACTGTCAGTCGATGCCGCTCGTTTTCGCTCAATGTCGCGCAATGTCGCTCACCATCTCAAGGTTACAAGTTCACACTCTTTCGCTTGTTACGGCTTGCTGTCGCGGACTAACGCGGCGTCGCACATTACCACGCATAATTGCTCAGTTTCGGTCGCTCACTTCACTCCTTCGCTGTCGCTCAGCGCCGTTCAATTTCATGCATCTCACTCGGTATCGCTATTGTCGCAGTCTCACTGTCGCGTAGTGTTGCACAGTATTGCTTGGTATCGCTCATTATCTCTAGGATCACTTACTGTCGCTCAGTGTCGCACACTATCGCTCGATTTCGCCCTTTTTCGTCCACTGCAGCGTAATGTCGCTTGGTTTTGCGCAGTACGCTATAGCATTCGCTTTCACCGAGGCCAAGAGACGAGATCATTGCTCGATTCCTTGATTGATTTTGAAGTACGATAAACGCATGCTACGTACCGCTTTGGCTCGACACACCGATACGCAAAGTGACTATGAGCCAGTCACCGATCAGCCACATATTTTGAAGTTTATGGGACACGAATACGCTTCTGTTCCCTACTTTGACACATTTTGTAAGCTAAATCACCGAAATACTTCTAGTCTACATTTATAATCATGAAGCCAGATTGAAAACCGAAACATTAAGCAACATTAACTCTGCTACCATTTTACAGTGTACTTTTTAGTGCCTCGCTTACGGTATCAACATTGTAAGCAATGTGGTTGGTGATTCTGCTATCATCGTTATATCCCTATTAATCGCTATTAAAAGTTGTAAGTAATCCAACGACATTTTGAGGGTCCATTACTCATTTTGCGATAAAGAACAGAGTTGAAGAAGTAACAACGGCACCTGTACCATATATGACGAGCTGGAATCCTGAGTTGAATCCAGTGAAGATCAAGCGAGTCCTCCAAAAAGAGTCGATCATTTGGTGTGGGCTACGTCAAGGAGACAAAAAATTGCTCCCGATGGTGGTTGGCCCTGAAGTTATAGCTTCGAGTAATTGATTTCGTAGTTGAGTGCGTGGCTCACTCCAAGGGGGAATTGGCCCTGGACAATATCCATTTGAGAAAAGCAGCCAAAAACCGAGAGAAAAGCTGAATGGTTGAGGGAGGTGGTGGCGTAGATTGCGTTCGCGTACGACGATATAAATCGTATAGTAGGAGTAGAACCCTTTTCTTTTATATTTTTTTCTTTTCCTGACTCTAAGAGTTACTAGTTTCAGTTTTTTTGTTCATCGATGTATCACGCTATCCTAATGCTCAAGCAGGATTTGTCGAACAACAAATACATTTGTTTACACACATTTTAAAATTAGCTTTAGAAGATGACGATACGGGACTTGGATGGGTTCTCACCCTTCTTCATCTGAAGGTCAGAAATTTTCAGATATCATCGCGTCTGGAGATAGATGCGAGTATTTGGCTATTTTCAGTACGAATGCTGTGGTGTGTACAGTATCAGCGACTTTTACACAGCTCGACAAATCGACCATCCAGCAGATACAACGGAATTTGGTAAAGAAAATGTGACTACTGAAGGATTTCGGGTAAGTGGAGGCTTCTATCCGGATACCTAAGCCAAACCTTGTGATTATCAAAGCCTAGGGCAGGGCTATGTTAGGCAGGGATTAGATGGAGCCGGTACCCGAATCTACAACTTTAGCATGACGAAGCACTTAAATTACAATCCTCGATCAAACTGACGTCTCCCAAGGGCCCGGTAGGGGACAACAGATCGGCTCTAAAGAAGTGATGGCTCGGCCTCCCATATGAATTACCCCTGCAAACCTCCAAGTCGACGTTAGCCTTTAGCGCTACTTCGAACGAATCAAAATGTGTTTTCAGGCATCCAACACGTTTCGCATTTCGAATTCGTGGGTTCATGAATGTTCAGCAAAAGCCACTGAATTTTTAAATACGACGGCCATCTGTTATGCGCCATCGTTTTGTTGTACTGGTACAGGCGATTATGTAGTGCCATTCGCTTGTCCACCTATGAAATGGGATGGGATTTCGAAAGCTGAAATGTAAGTTGATCACGATCAAATATTTTTGGGGTCGTAACTAGATTAGGGTCGATGTGGGAGCTGTAAATCCTAAATGTACTTGTGATTCTGCCTTTCAATTGCATTTTCATAGTACCTTTCATTTAGACCTCCGCAAATGTACCGTCATCCATGTGCACAGCGTATCGCATCCAACTACCGTTACAAAACTCTGAATCTCACGCTCATCGCCTCTGCCATTACGCTAGTGGCCATAGTAAACGCCATACATTTGCTGATTTGGCGATCCCGCCTCAAACCGTTGCGAAAATCATCGGCGGCATCTCCGAAGTGATCTGTGGGAGTTCAGCGAGTTGTCGATATTGTTATTCCACCTTCTGTGATCTATTTTACTTCGACATAATTGACATGAATTTTATTTGAATAATAAACAGTTCGATTTTGTTTTGTAAAACTGCTGCATATGGTGCATTTTGAGAAAATGAAATTTTTTTGACATTTTTTTGTAATGGCCCCCCGCATGAAAATTGCGAAAAATTTCATGCGGGACCCATCATTTTCAGATTCGGCTCGTCGAGAACTGATAGATATGGGGCGTTTTGTGGTATTCGAACGCTTGTTCCGTCTTGATTATTCGAACTTTCCGCTAGTTGCCAAAGTCAAAGTGGGCCCAATCCCACACCAATCAAATGGAAGTCGCCGTTGTTGCACCATCGGAGTAGCAGTCTCCTTTCAACCACAGGTAGAATGGCAAAAGAGCGAAATGTGAGATGGTTCAGTGCCAACCCTACCGAATGCCATCATGCGAGAAGCGAGGGATCGAGCCCGCTGAGCGGATAGTTTTTGCCAATCACTTTCATCACTTATCAGCCTGTCGTTTCTTCCTTAGTGATTTTCTGCATCAAACTAGCTCGGTATACGTTTCACGCACAAGTGGGCCCATGGTTG